CAGGACGGACTCCCGCCGTTCTCTTGGGACAAATTCGGCAGCATCAGCCACCAGGGTCTGCCACAGTATTACAACTTCACCTTTACCAAGATGCAGCCCATTCTTTTCAAACCATGAGCATCAGTGTGTGACTGTGTGCGCGCGACAGAGATTCTTTCAGGGTAATGGAGGTCCACGCCCATCTGTACAACCCAGTGAGTTTCTGGGAGGTTTTATCTGTCCTTTCAATGTCCATCCAGCAGATGATTTTTTTTCTGCATGTTTGCTATTGCATCCATGAGTAGACCTCCTTTCTTCTCAGCAGTCACTTTTTTTAAATTTTTTTTTAAAATATATATAGGATTTCATTCAACGCTGGTAAACACAGATTTCTGATCTATTTCTAAACACGTTTTTTTTCCCAGGGTGTCCTGTGTGCAGCCATTGGTGCCTTTGATTCTCACAGTAGCTTTATGATATAATGAAATACCAAATCACAAAATCAGCAGATGTGCCACCTTAAAGTAAAATCTTTATTTTTGATGCTTGAATGTCTTCATATATACGAACACTATTGCTGCAGGAGTAGAGGAAACAATCAGTGCAATGCCTCAGGACTCAGGAGCTGATCATCTCTTATGATCTGATTTTTGTTTGCTGCCTTTTTTTATTGTGCTGTGCAAAATTAAAAACCTCTTTTTGTATTTTTGTGTTTCTTTCTTTGCATGTCTACGATATGCCTTTTATTCCATTTTTGTTTTACACTTAAATTCTCACAGTCTGGACTTTCAGCTACTCGGGTTTAGATTTTTTTCTGGTGCAGGGTCATTTGATGTGTGAGATTTTAAAACATATGTTTGAGTGATTAAGTTTAAACTTTACTCAGATCTCAGTTAGTTTTCTTCACAATCTAAACTCAGTTCTATTAAATCTACATCAAATTAAGTGAGCTCAAGTTTAGGCTTTAAATCAAATCCCCACAAAAAGAGATCAAACCAGGACATTAGGATTGGAATCTCATCGAGCTCTGCGGTGAACTTCTCTAAATGAATGTGGCTCTAAGCCTCCATCAGTCACTTATCACCAGATTTAGCATCAAGTGGATTGTTCATGTGAGTTCGAGGCTTTCATAAATATTTAATGGAAAAGTAACAAAGCAAGACAATTTGAAAACTTGTCTTCTTCTGTAGCTGTCGTCCGAAAAAAGTGATTTTTGGTATTGGCCCGTAAACCTATGTCAATTTAATGAAGCAGAAAAATGTTTATAATTTTATACGTACTTGTAATTGGCTGTAAAGTCTTATTTTACATCATACATATGACAGCTGGGATAGGCTCCAGCGGCCCCCGCGACCCTGAAAAGGATAAGCGGAAGCGAATGGATGGTCTTATTTTACATTGTTGGAATTGCAGCTACTAGTACACAGATTGGAAAACTGATCAGTTACATTCGTTGGTCACCAAGACCGACTAGCAATCAAAATGCATTTCACTTTGATCTGCCAACAAAATAAAGAGATTTACACGTCCTTACCTGTCCTGTGGGACAGAAACGTTTAATGTTTAAATGTATCCAGATTACAGTTTCAGAGCTCTGATGCGCACTCTTCAAATTAGAAATAAACATCAACAAAATCCCAGATTTTCTGCAGCATTAATCTCTTGTCTTGTGTGCAAAGATATTGCATTTAACTGTTATTTTTGTTTTACATTCTTTATACATTTAATCGTCATCATTTGTGAGTAAGTTGCACTCATAGAAGCCGCCTTTTTTTCTGCGAAAGAAGAGTCACGTGATCCGAGAAATGCTCCTTTTTTTTGTTGTTGTTTGTTTATTTATGCGAACACAGATCCGGGGTGTACCGGAAGCAGAAAACCCGACTTATCAGAGAAAGTTGATAACCATCGTCGCGACAATCGTTATCTCCAGCTGAGGTTTGGGGGTTAACCAGCTAACGCAAAGAAAGCCTGGTTGTACTGAACTCCCATCGTAGTTTTCTCCTCAGAGAGGGTGAGCTGCTGTTTTCATCATTGCTATCGTAGCAAGCGCAATTTGAATTTGAAAGTTGTGGGTCCACCTTTAGATGGTGCCTGTTTTGTGTGTTTTTGTTTTTTCCTGATCACAGTGGGGTCACAGAAAGCATCTTTACCTGAGCTCACTGTGGTTTCTTTGCTTTAACTGTCTGTCCAGTGTGCTGAACCGCATCACTGGGTGCTGAAATTTACTCGGTGATGCGCTTTGAGCATTTTAGCGGTTTGTTTTGTTCTTTTTTTTTTTCTTATAGTGCATTATTTCTTACATGTCTCTGCATCTCAGTATAAAACAGAGTTCTTATTCAGTGATATGTGTCTTTGCTCAAGGCTTGAGGACCAGCAGCATATAAGGTCAAATATCTGCATAATTCTTGGCCCCTCTGTGCAAAGGGTTCTGAAATCTGACCCCATGCACTGTGCATTCATTGCAAACAATATTTCCAGTGGTTGGGGGGGAAAAAGACTGATAAAGCCGTCATGTTGAGATGTCTGCAGTGAAGAGTCTGTTTAATATAAACCTGCAAGCTTGAAAGTCAGGAACTCTTTGTTTTTGAAATAGAAATGTGGTCTCTCTCTCTCTCTGTCACGCTGTCCCCAGGAGACACATGTAGTGATTCACTCTTTCCTATTAAACGGAGGAACTGAAACGTCTGTTGGGCCTTCTGCATTCATTTCACAAATCCTCCCGTCATAGCCCTCCTCTGTGGCTCGCCGCTCTGTGTTTTTGTGTGTTTGTGTGTGTGCAACAAACACAGCATTAGACAAAGGCAACAGTCCACTTTACTTTTCGTTACTCACGTAGCACCAGGAATGGATAAGAAGTCTTGTCCTGAGGGAAAAAAGTTTGACAACTTAGTCCACACGTGTGTGCCCAGCAAGTCACTAATGAGATCTAACCCTGATCCACCAAAAGGTGAGTTTCACTGAATTCTAATCATTTTTTTCTGCCTCTTGGGCACAAGTTTGTTCTCTCAGCGTCCTGCCTCTGTCTTGGAGTATGTCTCAGTTGTGGATTCAGCATGTCTTTACAACTTTATCATGTAGACTTTTATTTTACCTGACTACCTAATACATCAACGTTATCATCTTCTTTTTTCTTGTACAGCCGCTTAGAAAATGAGTGAGCGAGTCAGACTTGAGTTCATCCTTTTTCTTTCTGAAACTTTTCTTACATGTCAGAATGCAAACTGTTTAACTGTTGAGGTAGTCAGCGTGTGGCTGTCCTCCTCCCTCACAGAGCCGCCCCTGACTGTCGTGAACCAGCTCAAAGCCATAAACACCACTGTCAAGCCCACCTCGATGGTGGTGCTGAGTCCGACTCTGTGGATTTCTGTGGTCGTGGTCGTGGTGGGGTCCATCTTGGCTTTGACTCTTTGGTTTATTATATACAAGCGACAGACCAGACGCAGCAGCACCTCCGGTAAGGACAACAAGCTTTTGATGGTTTGTGTCACTTAGAGTGTTACGGTTTATAAGTTTGCCTAACAAGAGAAAGATCCCTGGTTCGATCACAGGAGGAGACACAAATCCCTTTGGGGTAGTGTCAGGAAGGGCATTCGCTGTAAAAATCTACCAAAATCATACACGCAGACCTCCCCGCTGTGACCACCGCTTGTGAAAAAGGAGGAAGCTGAAAGCGGCTTTTATAGTTGTTTAAATTACGCTCATTAGACTAAATAGCAAAATATTCATCAGATGCTTTTAATACATCTAGTGATCTAGAGAAGTTATAAGAGGTATTTTCCTAAGATACATATTTTACAAGACAACGTGGTTTTTGAAGCTGTGGAGAGAAGTCGGTTTACTTAAAAAGAGGAGATCTGACACGCAGAGCTGACAGTCGGGTGGAGGAAACAGGGCTGCAGAAGGGCAGGTGATGAACTGTGACGTTCAGCACAGTAGAAACTCCACAGTTTCTGTTCTCTTCTTCTCACTTGTCCCAAGGGTCAGTCCCGCTCCCTTACCATCTATTCTGGTTTCAGCACACATCCGCTGGTTGGGCAAGAAAACGTAGGCACCCCCCGCACAACATTGAAAACACATAAACAGACTCTTCCGTGCCAGAGGTTGTACAGGGCTGTGAAAAAGTATTTGGCCCCTTCCTTATTTTTTGTGTGTTTTTGCTTGGTTATATTTATATGTTTCAGGTCAACTAACAAATTTTAACATTATTAAATACAAAATGATGTTTTGAAATGATTATTTCCCTTCTTAAGGGGAAAAAGTTATCCAAACCATGTGTGAAAAAAGTAATTGTTTGCTCAAAAAATTAAATAGAACCGGTATGACAAAGTGAAGTAGGCTGAAAGATCTCAAACCAGCACAGCATGCCACCATCTAAAAAAACTCTGAGAGACAAAGTCATTGATATCTATTTGTCTCAAAAATGGTTACAGATTCTGTTCAATTTTATTTATCCAGCACCAAATCAAGGCGCTTTATATTGTAAAGTAGACCCTACAATAATAGACACAGAGAAAACCCCAACAATCATATGAGCCCCTATGAGCAAGCACTTTGGTGACAGTAGGAAGGAAAAACTCCCGTTTAACAGGAAGAAACCTCCAGCAGAACCAGACTCAGGGAGGGACGACAATCTGCCATGACCAATTGGGGAGAGAGAAGGAAGACAGAATAAAAGACATGCTGTGGAAGAGAGCCACGGATTAATAACAAGTATGATTCAATGCAGAGAGGTCTATCAACACAACAAAGCAATTTTGAAAACTTTGGAACTCCACTGAACCACGGTGAGAGCCATTATCCACAAATAGAGAAAACGTGGAGCAGTGGTGAACTTTCCCAGGATTGGCTGGCCCACCAAAATTACTCCAAGAGCGCATCCATCACTCATCCAGGAGGTCACAAAATAACCCAGAACAGCATCTAAAGAACTGCAGGCCTCACTTTCCTTAGTTAGGGGAAGTTCATGGTTCAACAATAAGAAAGATACATGGAAGAGTTCCAAGATGAAAACCACTGCTGACCAAAAAGAACAAAAGGACTCGTCTCATATTTGCCAAAAAACCTCTGGGAAAATATTCTGTGGACTGATGAGACAAAAAATTATTATTTTTTTAAGATTTGTGTCCCGTTATGTCTGGCATTAACGAACGCAGGAGTTCATAAAGACAACATCATAACAACAGTCAATTATGGTGTTGGTAGTGTGACAGTCTGGGGCTGTTGCTGCTTCAGGACATGGATAACTTGCTGTAATCAATGGAACCATAGAATCTGCTGTCTAGCAGTAAATCCTGAAGGACAATGTCTGACCATCAGCTCATGGCCTGAAGCTCAAGTGCACTTGGGTTATGCAGCAGGACAATGATCTGAAACACACCAGCAAGTCCCCTCTGAATGACTCCAGAAATCTAAAACAAATGTTTTGGAGTGGCCTAGTCAAAGTCTGAGCTTAAATCCAATTGAGATCTTTTGGCATTCATGCCTGAAAACCCTCCAGTGTGTCTGAGTTAAAACAAGTCTGCAAAGAAGAGTGGGCCAAAATTCCTCCACAGTGATGGGGAAGACTCATTGGCAGTTATCACAAACGCTTCATTGCAGTTGTTGCTGCCAAAGGTGGCACAGCCTGTTATTAGGTTTCTGGGAAATGACTTTTTCATACAGGGCCATGCATGTTTGGATAGATTTTTTCCCTTGATAAATGAAT